TTTTGTAAATATTTAGTTTCCAGCAGACAGAAGGACAGGTTTGCAACAGGAACGAGAGTCAGAAAAGGCTGTAAAATTCCTTTTCATTCTCTTTGCAAAGTGAAAGTGCTGAAGAAGACATTCGGGCTCTTTTTCTACTCTTTAATGGTGTTGACCTTCTCTCTCTTTCTTCTTCAGGGTAATACTGCATTAGGCCTGCAACAAAAACTTTACTCTCTATTCACCACTGCACAAAAGGTCTTTTTGTGCATAAATAAGTGTTTTTTCTTTTTTTAAATTCAATGCCATGGAAAAGAAGAAGAAAGAGCAGAAAATTGTTTACTCTACTTGTCAAGAGACTGAGACAATTGACCTCTTGGTATGAGCTTCGATCCTTTTTTTAACTTGCTAAAACAAAGGGAATGGTTTCTTTTCTTGGTCTTGCATACTCAATCTCAGTTCTTAACTTCTTGTTAAACCCGTTTTAGTGCTAAAGCCCCATCATGACTGGTCCTTGGTTGACTTTTGTGTAGTTCTGTTATCTTGAAGCTTTATAGTTTGTTTTGTTGTTTCCATTTTCTACTCTACTGCACTTTGTTCATTTTGAATGGTTGGGTTCCCATTTAAGATTCAGAAGAAATAACATGCTAGGGTCTCTGAAAACTCTTGTTTGAAAGAATAATATTACACATACATCATTTTTATGCAATATTTTTCGTACAACATTATGTGGTAAGATATGACTGGATGAAAGTTTAATTTTAATTTTAAATTAACCAATCATAATCGTATGAAAAATGATGTTGAAATGATACATTACATGTTTTGATATTTATCAAACGAAGATATTGTCAGTATCTTATTGTTTTCTCATATTCGTTTCAATGATTACTAAGTAGAAGCTTCCTTTTTTTAAATAAAATGAGATTGGGAGCGTAAGCTTCTTTTAAGTTGTTTGGAGGGGTGAAAAACATGCAACTCTTTCTTTCACTGATATGATTTGTTGCATGTAGATGTTTTGTGATTATGTGACAGGAAATACCAAGAATAAACTAGTTCAAAAAAAGATAAATTATTCAAGCTAAACTTAGAGTAGTACTTGAGATCAATGAAGAACAAAACACACACAATGTGACACTTGATGCAAAGAATACTAAAACTGCCAGCCCTTCCCATGAAAATGCAACTTCCTTAAATCAGCAATATCCACCAGTTCCTCAATGGCCATACACACCTCAACATGCAGAACAATCTTCCATGAATTCAAGACCGTATGTATCCACCCAATCACCCTCTCCCGTTGTTGCAAGTCAATGGCAGCAATTACCAAATTCCACAAACAATCAGGTTCAGCAGGGCCAGCTCCAGCTGCAGTTGGCCCAATCAGCTATGCCCTTTTGGATGCCCCCACGACCTGGTTGCCATTTATCTGGAGTAAATGTTCCTGCTCCTTTTCAGGCATTCACTCCTTTCGGAATGATCAATGCTAGTTGGCAAGCCCCTGTTATGATAGGAGGAGAAACTTCTTCAAGCAACCAACCCCAGGCTCCTAATTTCTGTTACCCTGTTGGTTACCCATATCTGAGCTTTCCAGGCAATGATACATCTCCAGTCATCTTTTTCTTGGATTACTTTTAACATATCCTTTTAATTCGATGTTCTTTTTTGGTGCACAAAGATTATTTTCATGTATAATTTGATTTTCAGCAGTCATAGATATAGTGAATTCTTAAACTAGTCAGATATTTTGCATAGAATAGTTTCCAGATTAATGTTTAGAAGTGTGCCAAATGCATACATTACTATCCAAATGAAAGTGGAGCTCTTCTTGTTAACAGGTCCTTGGGATCCTTCATCTTGGTACGCCCAAGGTCAACAATCGCAGTTGCCCTGCACACACATTTCCCCAGGAGGATATGGTTATGCTTCTGCAGCGCCTCCACCATCACCTGGTTGCACAGCATCTCTTGGGCAACCTTTTCAGAGAGGAATTATCAGGCCGTTGGCAAAACTTTCTCAGAAGCATCAACAACTTTGGGAAGCTCAAGTATGAGTTCTTATCTTCAACTGTCATATTATGCTTAGAGTGATTTTAGTAAACTAACGCTTACACATAATATACATGTGGGTTAACTTGGTTCTGAGGATGCAGTCAGCAGAGAATGTTCAGCTATGGACTGTTATTGGTCAGTTGCAATCAGAAGTAGCTGATTACAAAAGTCGCCTAATGAAACTTGAAGCAGAAGTTTCATCTCTCAGACCAGCAGTCGAAGAACCCACTGCCCTAGTTACTAGGACTGCTTTATCTGGGCAAGCATCAAAGAGAGGAAGACCAAGGAAATCAACCGCTGCAGTCGATGTTTTACCTACTCCAGACGAGCATTACCCCCGAGCACGAGGTAGAAAGCCTGCTGCTTTAAGTAAATTTCAATCATCTGAACCTAGAACTCTTGTCTTTGAAAAGGTTAATCTAATCAAGGTAGAAGATAGAGTGAAAGCATGTCATTCCCCTGCCACTACTCAGCAAGAAAATGATAAAAAGATATCTAATATAATCACTACCAGCAGCGATAATGTGGAAGTTAATGGAAGCCATTTGATGATGCCTGCTTTCAACAGTCAAGTTCAACAGGAAAATCCCAGAATTCACATTAGTGGTATTGAGCTTAATTCCTCTTCCAAGAAGGAGAATATTGGTGACAACGCTGATGACTCCGGAGCTGACTTTTCAGTTCTTTCCCAGCAACCCAAGGGAATTCATAGCAAGGGATCTTCGGCTACTCATATAGGAACTACAGCAAATGGGAGATTTGGTTGGCCTACTATTAACCCTGAAAGCTGTGGTAGGAATGCTTTCAATACAACTTCTCAAAGTTTCTATGATAATGGCAGTGTTATTGGACAAGGAGGAAAGCACATTCCTGGATGGAGTTTTGTCGATGAAGCGAGTGCTCCGGAACAGCTTGAAGAAGGTGCTGTGGGATTGGCTAAGAATGACAATGAAGAGGAAATGGGAGAAGATGCAAGCACAGGTGGTGAAGAAATTGCTCCAACAAAAGATGAGACAGCATATACATGGATAGTGCGCTAGGAACTAAGTCTAAAGGCTCTATATAAGTAAAATGTAACTGGTAACAGCATTTACATCCTCTGCTTCAGCAATTCGCATAATTGCATTCTGCTCTATTTTGATTGTAGCTGATGATGGGCAATTCTGTTCAATTGGGGTAACTTCTTTATGTAACTGGAGGAAGTTTGCCCAAAGTTTTGATGTGGGGCAGGGTTTAGCCGATGAGGCTTTTTTCAAAGAACAAGGAGGAATCTCAAACTAGGCCTGTCCTTGAGTTTTCCTACAGTATTTTGTTTATGCAGCCCGAGTACAATTTAGTCCTTATCTTTTGGATCAGGTTGGGCCTAATCAGTCCAGTTTAATTTCCTAATTATGTAGAAAAATAAACTAGAAAATGTCAGAAAGTTGTATTGGTTGACACTCAAATATCACTTTCACATATGAATCCGATGAGTTACAGAGTCCTTGTCTCACAAATTTAAAATTATACTCCATCTTAAGTTACAAAGTCTTAGTCACATCTTAGCTTAATTTTTTAACTTTCCTAACAACTCATAAAAAGATCCCTCATTATAAACCTGAATCCTTCTCCTTTGTCTCCTTCAACAAGAATAATTCCCAAATTCATGCTAAATGAATTCAAATTCCATCTACTTTTGAGTTGGATTTTCCACCTATCCTACCTTACCTGTGTGCATTTATTTTGTAACATATAGTTCAAACTTTGGATGCCAAGCATGTAAGTTAAATCAAAATAATTCTACCAACTTCGTACTTGATAGTCCAACACTCTAGAACCCTATGAAAATGTCATCAAATATAATTTTATGATTTTGGGTCCAATTGCACCATGTTATTTATCTTCATTCAGCTCTATCCAAATATAATATTAATATTACTGGTTGGTGAAGTAACATTTTCGTAAAATAAATAGTAAATATGTCACGTTATTGAGAGACAGTTTGGGATCCCTTGTGCTATTATTGGAAGATATGAAATGAAAGACAGTGGAATACTCTAGCTTTATGGAGATGGTTGTCAAATTGGATGCACATTTGATTGGATATGTTTGTATTTATTGTTTTTAAAAGTGTATTTGATGTGGAAAATAAGGTTCTGAAATACTTTTATCTAGATTTTTGTTGTTAGTTGTTTTAATCATCCCCAAACAGAAACGTTTTCAATTTTCTCTTTTATTTCCTCATTTTATCTTTTATTCTTCATGTTTTCTTCTGTGAGCCACATGATAAATAGGGGTTAATTGAAGACTAAAATAAGAATTGTTGTGGAAGATCTTATCCGCAACTAAATTAATTAAGAATTAAGGTGTATTCTGTTAGTAAATAAGAATTTATGTAATTAATGAGGTTTTTCTATGGACAATCCTGAGGTTTAGTGAAAGAATTTTGGTGTAATGACTAATATACCTATATTTTATCTTTCTCTTACAATAAAAAGGAATTAATATCTGGCATTGTCACATGATCAAAATATTAAATACTTATTTATTTATTTTTTATAACGGGAGTGTTTGGGACTTCTGATGAGTTTATACGCACTTCAATTAATTTTTTAAACTCATTTAATATCTTATAAACATGATATTCCAAGTAAGTCACAAATATGATCGGTGACCCCAAAGTAGTTTGAATCTAAGAAGTTAAAGAAAGAAGTAAACCTTCTTGATCACAAGGCCAATCTCTTGGGGTTAAATAGTTATTTTTGACAAAACATTACAAGGGTGTAAGTGTCATATAATGAAATCTGTGGGTTGGTTGTTTATACTAAACATCAGGGGTGTCCAAAAAACCTACGTAATTAATTCATACTTATCTAAAGCACCCACTGTATAAAATAAAATATCGGAAGTTTCTTATAATAAAAAAATCAGTAAATGAAATCTCACGTGACGACACATGTTCAATTATTTCTTGGTTAAGAAAACCAAACCCACGGGACGTTAACTTCAACTAATTGGTCAAAACACGAACACGCTCTTTCTCTCTGAAAACCAATATACGGATCGCAACAGTTTGCGATTAACGTGCTTCTCCTCTTAATCCGCTCTTCGTTTTTTGTTTTTTCATTGACAAATAATCACCTTCACACCAATTCATTCAACGTTTCAATGGCAACAACTACAATTCAAACAACTCTATCCGCAACGACAAAAATCACCCCTCCAAGAACCAAGCTTGTTTGCTTCTCTTTTGCTGCCTACGCCAAGAACCTCATCGACCATTTAAGATCCCTCAACATTCCGATTCTTCCTGGCCTAAACGACGATGAATTTACTTTCATTGAATTCACTTTAAACTTCACTTTCCCTCCTGACCTCCGCTCCATTCTCAGGGAAGGCCTCCCCGTCGGTACCGCATTCCCCAATTGGCGTTCTTCTTCTCAACAACAGCTTCAGCTTCTTTTAAATCTCCCCTTTTTGTCCCTGTCGAGAAACGTAGCTCTTAACAACTTTTGGTCTGATTCTTGGGGGCAAAAGCTGCAAGAAAAGAATCAAAGTTTGTCATTGGTTAACCAATTATTACAGAAAGCACCGGTTCTTGTTCCTATATATAGAAACTGTTATATTCCCTCGACGCCTAATATCGCCGGGAACCCCGTGTTTTACATCGACAGTGAGGAGGTCAAAGTTTTGAGCTTTGACCTCGCGGGGTTTTTCAAAGAAGTTGAGTTCTCGCAAGCCGGTGTTTTTAAGTCGATCAATAATATTGAGATGCCTGTTTGGGCGGCGAAAGAGGCGCGGAGGATTGAGTTTTGGACGGAGGCGGCGGAGAGAGGGAAGAAGGTGGTGGCGCGTGGAGACACGCGCGGGTGGTGGAACGGCGGTGGTGGTGGTGAAGTTGGGGTGGGGTTGGATTGTTGTTTGGAGGGAGTGTTTTGGAAATTGAGAGATGGAGGATGGAGGGAAGAAGAGGTTAGGGAGATGATGATGATGAACGGGTGTGATGAGAAGGAGGGGGTGAAGAGTGGGGTCCAATTAGGGGGGTCGAATTATAGAGAGAGTGTAGTGTGGCAAATGAGAGTATTGTCTCTGGTATTATTACGTGCGGGGTGGAAGAGGGAAGAAGTGGTGTACTCGCTTAATCTTGAAGATGATGGTGATTTTGTTGAAGGAATGTTGTAAAGAAGAGGAGGAACATGAAATGAAGGAATTGAATAGTCATGCATATACTACTTACTAATTCATTGTTCATCTTACATTTAATTATATACAGAAATTTCATTAATATGAAAATATACTTTATTCTTTCATTAGGGAATTCCAGAGTAATATCCATAACTGAATGAATTATTTACTGTTAAGAAATATAGGATTATTTTGTTTTATTGTTTATTAACAATAAAATAGTTTTTTCATTATTTCATTTGTTTAGTTTATATATAGTCTTTTTGTATTTATGTTAAATCTTTTTTTTGTATTTGATTACATTATGCAGTATTAATGAAACCCTAACCTCCTCTTTTTCTTATTTATTTGGATTGTTTAACATTTACCATATAAGTTTGTAACCGCTCTTGGATTGGTTACTAAATTTAACCAGATAACTTATGATTTTTTTTTTTCTGTTGGATGATGATACTGCTTAACGTCGTCAAAGGTATGACACATGCGGTGAGTTTAAGTTATCAACCACCTAGAAAAAGTAAAGCAATTCTATAGAGGTTATTTATATAAAATGACTGCTTCCATTAAAGCTGGCCTTTGGCTTTGGGTCATTATCTCAATTGGGTTATAGTTAAAATATGCTGTCTTTCTCAGTTGTTTAGTCTTCCTCGTGTCAATAAAACAAGCAAAATTTAGAAAAGAGGACCAACCAATAATGGCGATGTCCACTATAATTTTAAGTCCATATTTGTCTTATTTCTCTTAGATTCGGTCCCTCATATTAATCACTTGAAAAAACAATCACACAAAAGCTTAAAAAGATATTTAGATACTTTGAAAAGATATGCAATCTACTTCTCTCATTCTCCATTGAACTCTTTATTTGTGTCTCATTATATTATATCAAGAGTTTTTTATACTTTAAATAATGTTATCATTAAACCCTTCAGAAATTTCTGTAATTTTAAATTAATTCAAATTCATGATACAAACACAAAAGAGACGACAATATTGTTGTCATCAAATGGTCCATGTTTCGGAGTTCCAGGAACCCGACTTGCCCCAAGTTGGCTTGATGTCATAATCAAGGAGGGTGATTACTTGGACCGTTTATGTGTGAAGAAGGTCAAATTTATCAACACCGACCCAAGAAATAACGCCTCCATTTGGCTTTGTCTACATCAGTCAACATTACTTATTAGCTTAAGCCTTTGAAAAAGTAACAAAAGACAATTGTCTAGGCTTTGTATTTTATATACATATGTCGTGACTTCGTCTAGCCGCGTGAACAATTTCAGAATTTCTGGGATTATTTGTTCACATTGCTCTCATCATAATGTGAAATTCAGAAAATAGCTCAATGGTGGGGCTTTTCAGAAATTAGCAGGACTTTTGGAGTGGGATGGTCCATTGGATCAAGTTGGCTGTAGCCCAACTTTGTCCAAAGTTCAACCTATGTTATGTGCTGTACATTCTAAATTCTTGGAAATAGTGTCTACTCGCACACTCGGCTTCTTCTTTTATCTCTTACCCAGTTACCTGATTTACAAAGCACATAATCTTGCAATGAAACTACTGCCATCATTTTCGCCGGAGATTCTGCAGCCATGGATTACTCTTTTATGTACCACATAAAATGGTCAGAAGTTCTTTATTTACTTATTTAAATTTGTATATATTATGCCTAAAAAGTCAAGGCTGACGTGGGCTCTCGTCAGCAAGGGCCAATCAAAGTTCAGGGAGGCGTTATGCCATCTAGACGGTGCCACATCACGTAAGGATGGAAGAGGTATAACTATCGTCAGTGCGGTAGGTGAATGCCAGACTTGAGTGGCTAGGAATTGTCCACATGCCCAAGCCCTACGCGATTTAAAGATGTCTCTCGTGCAGATAACCAATGTGAAGTGGGTTAGGAATTGTACCACATCTACCGGACTGCAGGCTCATGATTACTACCTTGAATCCTCCAACTATAAATAGAGGGCTATGTGAAGCGGGTTAGGAATTGTACCACACCTGCCGGACTGCAAACTCATGATTACTACCTTGAATCCTCCAAGTATAAATAGATGGCTCCTCTCTCATTTATGGGATTGGCTTATCTTTAGTATTAAACGGCATACATTCTCTCATTCTCTCTCTATATTCTCTCTAGATTATAACTCAGTTCGCTACACGCGACCTGACTGTAACCATCCATTAATACAACCATAGTGGACGTAGGATTCGCTTTTGAGCATCTGAACCGCTTTAAAAACCGCTTCTTATTTGTTTTCTCACTGCATATTTTCATATTACGTGTAATTTCTAAGCTCGCTTAGCACTTTATACATGTGAGTCGTTGGTGTCAAAATCAAGCATCAACAGTTTGACACTAGAATGAGGGCCTGATTTAGCATCATTGCAGATATTCCTTCAAGCTCACAGTTCTACCCAGCCGTGATGAATTACCTGGAAAGGTTCAACTATACTCTCCAAATAGTTAGCCAAAGGCTGGACCGTTTGGATCGGGTCGTACCACCAAAGTCCAATGAGGAAATGCCACAACCAAAGACGTCTACAAGTCGCGCGAAAGCACGGAAAAGGGCGAAAGCTCGCACCGCGCGCATACCTGTGCATAAAAGTAAGGAAAAGCAAGTGGCGAGCAGTGGATCAGCTTCGATTGGTTGGATTTTGGGAATACTACTTTTAGTATTCCCAAAAAAGTTAAACAGTAAAATACCCAAAAACTCCCATATTATTCAACTTTATAACATTTTTAAACCACCTAAATTTATTAATTCAATTAAATACCCTAAATATTTTAAGTTTTTGTTACGGTGACTCCAGCCACCCTCCGGCCGTGGTGGGCGGCTGTCCGTATTTGAGGGTGGATTAGGGGTGTTTTTGTAACTTTTAATATTTTATTATAAGGGGTGTTTGTAAAAAAACAAACATAGGGGGTATTTTATTAATGTATCCTACATCGAATACCGCCCAATTCAACTTTTTTTTAACTTTTTTCAAAAAATTTTCTCAAAAACACAAAATTGTGAACCAAACGGAGCTTAGTCTTCCTCTGTAAATAAAATGAGAGTATTGTCTCTGGTGTTATTACGTGCGGGGTGGAGGAGGGAAGAAGTGGTGTACTCGCTTAATCTTGAAGATGATGGTGATTTTGTTGAAGGAATGTTGTAAAGAAGAGGAGGAACATGAAATGAAGGAATTGAATAGTCATGCATATACTACTTACTAATTCATTGTTCATCTTACATTTAATTATATACAGAAATTTCATTAATATGAAAATATACTTTATTCTTTCATTAGGGAATTCCAGAGTAATATCCATAACTGAATGAATTATTTACTGTTAAGAAATATAGGATTATTTTGTTTTATTGTTTATTAACAATAAAATAGTTTTTTCATTATTTCATTTGTTTAGTTTATATATAGTCTTTTTGTATTTATGTTAAATCTTTTTTTTGTATTTGATTACATTATGCAGTATTAATGAAACCCTAACCTCCTCTTTTTCTTATTTATTTGGATTGTTTAACATTTACCATATAAGTTTGTAACCGCTCTTGGATTGGTTACTAAATTTAACCAGATAACTTATGATTTTTTTTTTTCTGTTGGATGATGATACTGCTTAACGTCGTCAAAGGTATGACACATGCGGTGAGTTTAAGTTATCAACCACCTAGAAAAAGTAAAGCAATTCTATAGAGGTTATTTATATAAAATGACTGCTTCCATTAAAGCTGGCCTTTGGCTTTGGGTCATTATCTCAATTGGGTTATAGTTAAAATATGCTGTCTTTCTCAGTTGTTTAGTCTTCCTCGTGTCAATAAAACAAGCAAAATTTAGAAAAGAGGACCAACCAATAATGGCGATGTCCACTATAATTTTAAGTCCATATTTGTCTTATTTCTCTTAGATTCGGTCCCTCATATTAATCACTTGAAAAAACAATCACACAAAAGCTTAAAAAGATATTTAGATACTTTGAAAAGATATGCAATCTACTTCTCTCATTCTCCATTGAACTCTTTATTTGTGTCTCATTATATTATATCAAGAGTTTTTTATACTTTAAATAATGTTATCATTAAACCCTTCAGAAATTTCTGTAATTTTAAATTAATTCAAATTCATGATACAAACACAAAAGAGACGACAATATTGTTGTCATCAAATGGTCCATGTTTCGGAGTTCCAGGAACCCGACTTGCCCCAAGTTGGCTTGATGTCATAATCAAGGAGGGTGATTACTTGGACCGTTTATGTGTGAAGAAGGTCAAATTTATCAACACCGACCCAAGAAATAACGCCTCCATTTGGCTTTGTCTACATCAGTCAACATTACTTATTAGCTTAAGCCTTTGAAAAAGTAACAAAAGACAATTGTCTAGGCTTTGTATTTTATATACATATGTCGTGACTTCGTCTAGCCGCGTGAACAATTTCAGAATTTCTGGGATTATTTGTTCACATTGCTCTCATCATAATGTGAAATTCAGAAAATAGCTCAATGGTGGGGCTTTTCAGAAATTAGCAGGACTTTTGGAGTGGGATGGTCCATTGGATCAAGTTGGCTGTAGCCCAACTTTGTCCAAAGTTCAACCTATGTTATGTGCTGTACATTCTAAATTCTTGGAAATAGTGTCTACTCGCACACTCGGCTTCTTCTTTTATCTCTTACCCAGTTACCTGATTTACAAAGCACATAATCTTGCAATGAAACTACTGCCATCATTTTCGCCGGAGATTCTGCAGCCATGGATTACTCTTTTATGTACCACATAAAATGGTCAGAAGTTCTTTATTTACTTATTTAAATTTGTATATATTATGCCTAAAAAGTCAAGGCTGACGTGGGCTCTCGTCAGCAAGGGCCAATCAAAGTTCAGGGAGGCGTTATGCCATCTAGACGGTGCCACATCACGTAAGGATGGAAGAGGTATAACTATCGTCAGTGCGGTAGGTGAATGCCAGACTTGAGTGGCTAGGAATTGTCCACATGCCCAAGCCCTACGCGATTTAAAGATGTCTCTCGTGCAGATAACCAATGTGAAGTGGGTTAGGAATTGTACCACATCTACCGGACTGCAGGCTCATGATTACTACCTTGAATCCTCCAACTATAAATAGAGGGCTATGTGAAGCGGGTTAGGAATTGTACCACACCTGCCGGACTGCAAACTCATGATTACTACCTTGAATCCTCCAAGTATAAATAGATGGCTCCTCTCTCATTTATGGGATTGGCTTATCTTTAGTATTAAACGGCATACATTCTCTCATTCTCTCTCTATATTCTCTCTAGATTATAACTCAGTTCGCTACACGCGACCTGACTGTAACCATCCATTAATACAACCATAGTGGACGTAGGATTCGCTTTTGAGCATCTGAACCGCTTTAAAAACCGCTTCTTATTTGTTTTCTCACTGCATATTTTCATATTACGTGTAATTTCTAAGCTCGCTTAGCACTTTATACATGTGAGTCGTTGGTGTCAAAATCAAGCATCAACAGTTTGACACTAGAATGAGGGCCTGATTTAGCATCATTGCAGATATTCCTTCAAGCTCACAGTTCTACCCAGCCGTGATGAATTACCTGGAAAGGTTCAACTATACTCTCCAAATAGTTAGCCAAAGGCTGGACCGTTTGGATCGGGTCGTACCACCAAAGTCCAATGAGGAAATGCCACAACCAAAGACGTCTACAAGTCGCGCGAAAGCACGGAAAAGGGCGAAAGCTCGCACCGCGCGCATACCTGTGCATAAAAGTAAGGAAAAGCAAGTGGCGAGCAGTGGATCAAAGGGCTCCGAGGGACTAGTGAACACCGGTCGTGTTAGGAAACGACCCAGTTGCGCAGCGGAAAACAAAAATTTTACAACCATGGATCGTTCCTTAGAACCCAAAATCAGGGCATAGAAAATTACAGTTTATATTTATAGAATCTGCAGAAAAATAAATCCAAAGGTTTAGATTCATACCCACGTTTGGAGGCTCCACCAATGTTGTCTCTGAATGTGTTTGCTACCAATCCAAGTGTAGGATCGAACCGTAGAGGTCCACACGAAGACAATCAACAAGAACCAAGGAGGGATTTGCTAGATCCTCCTTGGCCTTAAGAAATCAAGAAGAAAAACAAAAATGTTTGTTTTTCAATGGAACAGTGAAAGGGGCGTGGGAGAGTGTATGGGGTGTTGTGTTTTCTTTTGCTTTTTGCAAAAAGGCAAAAATTAAATTCATCCTAAAACACACAAACACTATTCTTTTTATAGGCAAACCAAGTTGCCCTATTCTCACATGGAATGGGCTTGGGCTCCAACCCAAACACCCCATGTTGCCAAACACTCCCAAATTAGATATTTTATTTAATTCATCATTATTTCAATTAAAAATCAATTAATATATAATAATATATATATATATATTAACATTTACAATAATGATAATTTATTAAATATGTGCGAACCACATTCAACCGTAATTTCACTTATTTAATTTTTTAACAAATAAATAAAGGCACGACCTCAGCAAATTAATTGCACTGTGAAATTACCAAAATACCCCTTCGCCCAAAAAGACGAAAATCCCTTTTTCTTCTTGGTCTTAAATTATCTTTATGTGTGGGACCCATAGGCTCCTCATCATACCGGTAGTGTAGATCGCGATTAACACCAATAATGTTCACTAATACACAGACCAAGATTGGCCCTAGCAAGGCATCATGGCACCCGATAGATTCGGATTCAGCAAAGTAGCTACTGTCAAGATATGGTTACCGTACAATACGATCTTTCATCATACGTTATCGCGACGAGACGAAGGCATAGAATAGTGTCAACCTTCAGTTACTCTCGATATTATATATTCAGTTTCTGGACCAATGACCCGTATTATAATTGGATAGAGGACCAACTCAATCCCACTGTGGCCACAGTTTCAGTGTCATTGCCATATACTGAATTGCGCCGTGAGATAACTCTCCCGTACCCGGGAGGGATGAATCCTTTGTCAATCCACCATAGTCTTGATACACTTCTTGATATAGCCAATCACCACCGTACTGACAGCTTGAATAGAACTGCGTTAGGCTAGTGTCAAACTGTACCAATTGGTGCACAAGGCGCTCCGGTGATCTCAAGTCTAAGGATCACATGACCACCATTCGTTAGAGGTTGTTTCATAGACACTGGGGTTACCATCCATATGGAATCCTCTGGTGGGTCAGTCCAATGAACTTGCTGCGGTATATCGCCTACAACAAGCACCCATGTGTTGCACCAGGTTGTCACCAAACAACTTTGACAAGTGAGATCAGTCACTGCCTTTCGACAGGGTCGTTCAACACTATGATAGCTTACCGTATTATCTGTGCCCTTACTTCAGAAAATAATGGGGCCTCGGGAGTGTCAGAATGGCCACCATATGTGCTCATAGGGTTCTCACTATCAAGATTTGAAACACTTGATACCCTCGTCACGGTTCTACCATTCTAAGGACATATATCAATACATATTGCAATAATAATGATTTACGCGATATAGAATAAAATGCCTTTTATTATTGATTAATGAACATTATTACAAAGAGTCAATTCCACAATAATTGATTGGCTCTAGGGCATCTACTCTAACAGGTCGCGCAACGGGTAGAATACCTGTGGTATTGCGACTCGATGACATGTCACAGCATGAGTTGTCCCATGCCACATCGCATAGACACTTCCACCAAAGTGCAAGGCAATGAGATTCTCAATATTGCCGAAATGATGACCTCGATCGTTATCACGCGGGAAACCCCTATAGTCCGCGGGTCGGTTCTGACCATCGCGGAGATCGGGAAAACTACCCAAGCCATTCATGCTTTCATACGGCCCCAGCCAGTGTATGTCAAGGTTCGCCAAAGTTTCTGACCGAGTTGAGGAAGAGCCCGATTTGCGGTCTTTCCTCAACTGCAACCGTGAGGGTCGAATCCACGTTGCGGAGAGTGATCCCCAGGTAGCTTCGCTACCTCGGATTGAGGAATTACAACGAGCTTTGGATCAGCTTAAGGCTCAGCAGAATGAGCATGAGAAGGTCGTAGAGGCGTCTCCTCTTTCTCCAGTGGTGTTAGCTGCTCCTCTTCCATTAAGATTCAAAATGCCCAACATACGGGTGTTTGATGGGAATTCTGATCTGTAGGATCACCTTTACAAGTCCAACAACCTCATGGAACTCCACCAAGTCTTTGACTTGGCCAAATGTCGTTGCTTAGCAGTGAATCTAACTGCCCATATCAAG